TCTTACTCAATAACATTAGCAACAATAAAAGTGTCCACTCAAAATTTGGCTTTTTTGAGATTAGAAATGTGCACAGAGCTTTTATTTACCTTCCAGCTAAAGCTGGAGCAAATTTTTGTTGTAATTTGTTAAAAAAACCTAAGGTAAAGTCACCCGCCCATATGATTATCATGTGCTAAGAAATAGTTTTTCGTATTTTCTGACAAACGTATTATTTTGAGTTGTGACTCTTTTGAAGACGGTGTGCGATATATGTATAATTTTACTAGTTGGGAGACTTTTCACATTCTCGTATTCTGGAAATTTTTTAAACGATATTTCTGCACATTTTTTAAACGATATTTCTGCAAAAAAACCGCAACAGCAATTTAATCTAAATGACAACTAAAAAATCACAACGCAGGTATCCACATATTTTCATTTTTTTTACCCAAATGCGGTGTTGGGTATTTTCTTCCAACGCTTTTTTATATGAAAGAAAATAAGCGTCACCGTAAAAAACATTGCCAAAAATCAACTGTAAATTTTTCTACAAAAATTTAATGGGCTACAAAACTGCATACTGAAAATCTTTCTAAGAAATCTAACAAAAAGCTCGCTTTTTTTTCTTAATATTTTTTTATTGCACAAAGTTTGATATATTTATATTTATACGGGTTTTGCTAAAGACTAAGCTGTAATTAAAAAAAATCTTGTGGTGCGCTTTAATTTTGACACGGGGTGATAACGGATGGTATACTACTTTCAATCTTTTTATTTATTGGTTCCCTTAGTTTTTAGTTTTCTTGCTTGAAATGTATCCGTAAATAAAACAGTAAATTTTTATAACTTGTGTAAACGGTTTTTATTAATTTTCGATTTTAATCGAAACTACCGATTAATAATAATAATAATAATAATAGATTGGCGCTTACACATATGTTAGTGTTTGGCCGAGCTTCTGCTCCGACTTGTGGCGTGCGCCTTGATGTTATCACACAAAGCGGAGGGACCTACAGTTTTACGCCGACTCCGAACGGCGATTGTATTTTTATGAGAAGCTGTTTTTCATGGCAGAAATACACTCGGAGGTTTGCCATTGCCTGCCGAGGGACGACCGCTGTTAAGAAAAAACCGTTTTCTATATTTTTTGAGATGTTGCTTTGACCAGGGCTTGAACCCAGGTGCTGATGTGTGAAAGCGCGCACTGCTTACCACTACACCACAGCGGCCGAAACTACCGATTAATTGGTTAAATTATTACGATTAATTGCAATTATTAATCGAATACTTTCTATTAATCAATTAACCGATTAATCGATTATTAAATTTTTTTTTGTCATCACTAAGAATAAGTGAAGTACATGAAAGAGCAACACATTTTTATATGCATATGAACATCTGCCTGACCGTCTGCATTACGGTAAATTTTCAGTTTTTGTACATTGAGCGTGTGTGAATCGGTAACAAAGTTCGCGGCGAGTAAATTTTTGACAACTATGAGGTGAATAAAATTTCAGTAGCTCATGAGGTTAGTGAAATTTTTGACAAATGCATAGAAAATTTTGACAATCGCAAAGATTGTTGATGTGTGTAATTTTTCCTTAAAAAAAAAGCTTAAATTGATGAATTACAATCAACGATGGTAGACGTTTTCTTAAAATATTAATTCCACTTCAATTTGTAATATTTTATTCCGCATAAATCTGCGGTTATCAAAAATTTATTGCTGTTAACAAATATTTCATTTCACACAGCAGATTGGAAAAAACTGTCTCAATATTAAAATATGTATGTATATATGTACATATGTTGTAAAAATATTATTCAACAGCTTTCCCCATAGCACATTCGCGAACATTTAATGAAAAGTAATGAGAATTGCATCGTGGCTGAAAATGTCGGATGTATCCTCCTGACTTTCATCTTCACTTGAGGAACCTAGCATAATGGCGAGATCGTAGTTTAAACACCGCTTACAAGCCAAACCAGATGTGTCAGCTTTTCTAAAGCTTTTAAAAAGCTTACTTCATTCTCATTCCTTTGGATGTTTCAGAATTTGGGGAACCTTTAACGCCATCAGCGTTTTTCGATTTTAGTTTTTGTAATTCATTTTTGAATACTTTTCTTCTGCGACTGGTTTGAAAAATTTGTGGTTATAGCGAGCTAAATAGGTGGAATGAAAATTTTGAATGAAATTCTGTTTTCAAATTCGTGGCTGCCAGCCGAATCGGATCAAAATATTGTTATTTTCTTAAAAAACAAGATTTTTTAAAAGCATTTGAATTATTGGAATCACGAATGATGAGGGTCTCAGATAGTTACGTAATTCATACCTAATTAAAGGTCAGACTTATAGCGTTTTAATTATTTGAACATCGATTCTCTCTATAGCCAGACTTGGAACATTTCTGCTGGAAATCCCAACTGAAGGAGCTTACTCTTTGACTTCAAATAGCAAATGATGGATACGTAGGGAGACAGTTTTGCCACATAAGTTGTTAGCCAAGGATCCAATGTATATAAATATAAAATATATATATAAGAATATTGCCCGACAAGTAAACAAAATAGCTGTTTTTGAAATTTTTCCTAAAAATAAATTGGTCCAAAAAAATCAATAAAGAAAGAATCCAATGCAGGCATTTAAAGCACAGAAAACAAAAAAAAAACAAAAAGTATTGTTTAAAGGACTATATTCTCTTTGACGTACGTCAAAGGTCAAGTAGAAGTGAGAACTTTTATGACTGCCCATTGATAGCTCGGTTATATAGCTTAGGAAATAATTATGGTGCTCACAGTTCTATGTTATCTACTGTGTTAATTTTGCCACCAGGTAGCTTTAAAACATTTTACCATGTGGTAACTAGGTTTGTTGTTGGTTCCCATACTAATTAGAGATAACAGTTTTGGGCAAAATACTCGACATTGTATCATGTTTTTGTTTTGTGTTAAACTGGCATCNTGAAATTCGAAACAACGTTGCAGATCTGATGACCTTGAAAGAAATGCAATAGCGCATTATATCTGTATATATAGTAAGATATATATTTATATGAGTTTTACAATTAGGGTGCTCACAGTTCTATATTATCTACTGTGTTAATTTTGCCACCTGGTAACTTTAAAACATTTTACTATGTGGTAACTTTGTTTGTTGGTGGTTCACATACTAATTAGAGATAACACTTCTGGGCAAAATTACTCGACTTTGTCTCATGTTTTTGCTTTGTTTTAAACTGGCATCTCTGATCAGCTAATTATTCGCGCTAAGAAAAAATGGAAAGTGAAGCAGAAAAACATAAGGAGGGCGCAATTTGAAAGATTTTTAAATATATATCTGACTATATTTGTTTTATTAACAATTTCAAACACATGTGTGAAGGGTTGCTCACAGTTCGAGTGAGTTATCTTGTTAAAGTTGCCACCTTTTAACTTTAAAAGTAAACTGTGAATGCCCTAAATAGATAGCAACCCTAATACTTGGGTAAAACTTAACTAAATTCGACCTTAAAATAGGTGGATATATTTTTCAAACGTATTTTCAAATTAAAATCTTCTCTTTTTCATAGCATTATCATATATATTTCAACTAACTGATGAATAAAGTGGATTTGGATTTTTAGACACGTAGAAATCCTNGTTATCTTGTTAAAGTTGCCACCTTTTAACTTTAAAAGTAAACTGTGAATACCCTAATTATGATTAAAGATACTATTATCAAAGCTAATAAATATAACATTTTACCAGTTTTGTTACACAAATACTCCCATGTGCGGCGCCCGGGTAACATGACCTAACGTCGCATCTCCACAGGCAAAGAATATTGGCTACACTTTGTCATTTTGTTTGTCAGATATACGTTTTATCATTGCACTTGCACAACATTCACATTCGCAAAAGCTCCGCATTGATTACTGCGAATGCGAATATTAAAATTAATGCGGAAGCTCCGCGGTTGCGAATACGAATATTCGCAACATCCTTGGTAAATACTCATGTATCTCTCTATATTTTTAAGGATGTATTTTAACACAAGCGATGCGCACTACCTTCTGCATGTTTACACATGCACATTTTATTTTTCGCTAATTTTTTATAAAAATATGATTAATTCCACAACAAAAACCCCAAAAATCGGAGTTCCAAACCTTATGCAAAATTAAAGAAAATTCTGCAAATTTTCATCCAAATATTGCTCTTTTTATTTACACACTTTAGAAAAAAGTTGAGTGCCTACGCAGTTTTTTACCCATTCAATTTTAGTATAACAAAGTGCAAGTTTGAGGTTGCTAGGACTTACCACTGATTTTTAGCAATATTTGTTGAAAGTGTCGCTCATTTTCTCCATATAAAATAATGTTCGATAATTTTTTTTATATGGAAAAAATGTGCGACACCTTCAATAAAAAAAATTGCCAAAAATCAATAGTAAGTCCTAGCTTCCTTATACTTGCACTTTATTAAACTAAAAAACTGCATATTTACTCAACCTTTTTCTAGAGAGCGTAAGTAAAAAGTGCAATATTTGAATGAAATTTGCAGAATTTTCTTCAATTTTGCACAAGGTTTGGAACTCTGATTTTTGGGGTTTTTGTTGTAGAATTAACCATATTTTTATAAAAAATTAGCAAAAAATAAAATGTGCATGTGTAAACATGCAGAAGGAAGTGCGCATCGCTTGTGTTAAAATACATCCTTAAAAATATAGAGAGATACATGAGTATTTACCAAGGTTGACGTAGTCCAAAGTTATGCGGTAACATACATAAAAAAAAAAAAAAATATTCCGACGAACTGATAACCTCCTCCGTTTTTGGAAGTCGGTTAAAAATACATCTGAAACAGACATACTTATGTATCTCCCAAAGTTTACACTGCTGGCAAATGCAAATAAGGATTAAAATTTTAAAACTAATTAATAACATTGAAGTAAAATATTTACAAAGTTAGCAATAAAATACTTTTTTTGCAAAATCTATAAAGGACCCTTTTATTTTTCAAACAAGTTGTGTGACAGTTGTTATTTTACGCCCTGTACTTTGCCATTCATATTGTGGCGATTACCACTAAGCAAGCAAAGTTTAGAGCGATAGTAAAAAGGTGTAAGCATGGTCGTAGCCAGGTGGGTACAGGGTGCTCGGGTATAAAAATCAGAAAAATATTAAATTACGGGGGTGGTCCCAAAAGTACCCGGCTTAACCTAGAGATGGCTGTAGTTGTTTGAAAAATATCACTGTGTTAAATCTATAAAGCATACGTTTCAAGTTTGAAGACGCCACGTTGTTTAGTATATGCTTGGCAGCCCTCAATGGTGAACGTCTTCAGTGAATTTGTGAACATGGAGAAAATCGGTCATCGTTATGTGATACAATACTTTTATTTGAAAGGCCTCAGCCCATCCAATATAAAAGCTGAAATAGATTCTACTTTGGGCGGGTCTGCTCCTTCGTTTACAACAGTAAAATATTGGGTAGCAGAGTTTAAACGAGGTCGTACGAGCTGCCAAGACGAGCATCGCAGTGGTCGACCAAATGAGGTGACGACTCCAGAAATGGTGAAGAAAATCCACAAAGCGGTAATGGATGATCGTCGACTGAAAGTGCGCGGGCTAGCAGATATAGTAGGCATTTCGGAAAGTACGGTACATCGCATATTTTCTGAAGATTTGGAAATGAGAAAGCTGTGTCCAAGATGGGTGAAGCATTTGCTCACACTCGACCAAAAACAGTGTCGTGAAGAGGTTTCAATTGAGTGTTTAGCGAATTATTGAATTAATGTTTGAATTGCTACCTCATGCAACATATTCGCCAGATTTAGCCCCCTCGGACTATTTTCTGTTCCCCAACTTCAAAAAATGGCTCCATGGTCAAAGATTTTCTAACGATTAAGAAATGATGTCGGCAGTTAATGGCTATTTTGAGGAGCAAGACAGTTCTTATTATAAAAAGGGTATCGAACTTATTGAGCATCGCTGGGAAAAGTGTATAGAGTGTGTAGAGGAGATAATGTTGAAAAATAAATATATTTTTCCCAAATTTTTTTGTTTTCTTTGTTAGATCGGGTACTTCTGGGACCACCCCCGTAATTCCAAGGCTTAAATTAAAAAAAAATTGCCATACATTCAGGAAGAGTCTGGAATTCTTTTGTGGAATTTACCCAGTGGGAAATTGTAATGTATAATAATCGCAAAATAATCAGTAAAAAGCCCTTTTCACATTCGAAAATGCATTTTTTTCCTAGGGCGATGTCCAAAGAAAAGTGGGGCATTTAATTTTGCATTACCTAGTATAGAGAAATGAATGTGTTTTAACATGCTGAATAAATACATTAGAATGCTGATTACATAGTTAGCAGTAATATTATCGAGAACTCCTAAGAAATACATTATATTATTTATCACGCAGGTAATGCATTATTATTGTTCCTTTGAAAAATATATCTAAGATATATTTCTTTGTGTGTACCTAATTAATGAAAACGATCAGGCAGAAGTTAGTTCACCTTAAGCAGTCGGTGAGTTCAGTCGTTCAGTTCCGTTTGCGCGCACCTTTTAATCAAAAGTCGTTTCTTTTCAGTTGCCGTTCTTTCGTGCAATACTCAACCGTGAATTACTCAACTTCTTTAATTATGAATATTCTAATAGAAAACTAAACATTGAATTTCATATCAACTGGAAATAAAGACCAAAATGCATTTTCCTCACATACATATATTTACTTTTGGTAATTTGTAACAATAAATTGCGCAAAAAATTAAAAAAATTGTATTCCTTTTTTATGTTTATACTGCTTTATATCGAAATTAGAAATGTACTCCTTTCTCCGTTTGAGAATCTGGTAACCCTATATTTGAGTAATAAGTATTTAATATTGTTTATTTTAAAAACTCTACCAACTTCTACCATTTTTTATGCAAAATCTACCACTATTAATTTTTTCGCAGTCCGTGCACTGATTCGGATTCTGTGATAGCAATTTCGAAGATTTCACGAAAATCGAAGCTACGATGGATTCTGTGATAGCCCTGAATAATTCTATTTACTACTGAAGGGATCTTTTTGTATCTTTAGATGCATAAATTTTATTAATTTAGATAAAGGAGATTGGTCATTTGCAATGATTGATTTGCAATGAGCTCTCGGCTTAGAGTTATTGAGGTAAAGTTGGCTTCGTAGGTTAAGTTATTTATAGGTACGGTGACCATATTTATGAGAGCCGAATACGGGACAAAATATAATTTTGCAAATTTATTCCACAACAGCTTACAGATATTAAAGCCTTCTTCAATGATCCTAGATATATTAGTCCTGAAACAGTATCCTTATAGTAACATCACAAATTTGTAGGATATTTTTCTCGAGACTTTTACCTCGTAAAATTAAAAAAAAAAAAAAAAACAAAATTCGTTAAATTTTAGTATAATAAAGTGCAATTTAAGTCGCTAAGGCTTACCATTAATTTTTGGTAGTTTAATTTATTTTTTGTTGACGGTGTTACGCATTTTTTCATATAAAGTAAGTATGTTCGACCATTTTTTTTTTTTAAAGATAAGCAAATGAGCAGCATTTTCAACTCGCACTTTATAGTACTCAATTTAGATGAGTTACAAAACTGCAAACCAAATTTTTTTCTAAAGATTTTAATTAAAAAGTTTGAAATTTTGTTGAAACCTTGCAGAATTAATTTTTATAGTTTTTAACCGCTTAAGCGGTTATGGCGCCAATAAAAAAGAAGAAGAGAAAACAATCCATATCATAATTCCAGAAAATTATAAAAATAATAAAAAGTTATAAAATTATTAGCACCAATAGCTGATACCTCGAAAATACAAATAAGCCACGATACTCTCTAGTGTAATTGTTTGATTTTGTAGTTTCAAAAAATAAACAATAAGCTTTCAAAGTCTAAAAAAATACATTTTTAGCACAGAAACGTTTAATGTGCATATATAGAACTTGACATAAAATGTACCCTTCATATTAGTCGAAAATTTAAATACTAAAGTGCACGCAATCCTTTTATCGCAAGGGGTCAAAATCCAAAGCATACTACATATAATATATGTATTTTCAAACACAATATTTGACTGAATGTTTTTGTATGCATATTTCCGTCCAACACACATTAGGTAAAATGATTCATTTGGCTGTGCGAAAGTCCAATTTGGTAAAGGCAGTTTTACATTATTTTTGTTGCCATTCTGTAGGGAATTCTCCAAAATAACAGAAACTTCACTTTGTTTTTGTAAAATAAAAAATACCGTTAGACAGCAACTAACCAAAGTTACACTTACAAAACGTTATTGACACGTTGTTTTCGCACAGGTTAGTTTGTAAGTTTCAAGTGCATTTTTTTGTAAAGGTTGAATAATTAAAGGAAAATTTTAAATGGAAAACAAAACTATAAGTGAGATTCTATGTTCCAATTTAAAAAAGTGAGTTTTTTTATTTGTTTGCAAAAAAACTGACTTATTTGCATAACCTCAAAAATTTTCTGATTTATTTCCATTTATGATTTTATGTAAGCTTGTACAATTTTGTTAGCTTTCGGCAAACAAAATGGAAACAGAAATGGATAAAGTCTGATGTAATGAGTTGATTTTATTTCACTCAACCCGGCGTTTTTAGCCGTTTTCAAGAAAAACGGGGTTTTCTGGGCTATCATGCTATTACAAAAGGCGAGTAGTTTGAAGTTTGGCTGATTGGATGTTCGAAAAAACAAAAGCTTTTTCGGTTGTCAACCATGTTGAAACAAAATTTGGTGCTGCTGATATTTGAAAAAGTTCCATGAACCTCTTAGAAGAAAAAACGTGTCTTTTATTTATCAAAGAAAGACGAAAATTATGGAAAACTATTTGGAAAGGATGCTAAAATATTTAGATCTGAAAACATAGCGTTTCTTGCTGGTGAAGTTCTTTTCGAAATCAAAAAGCCAGCAGCCGGATTCAAACTTTAAATGCTGAAATACGAAAGCTAACATTTTTCCGAATTTCCGAATTTGCCTTTCGCTAAAAATAGCTTAGCCTAAATTTTTTGGTGATAAATAGTCCATTTTTATGGCGATAAATAGTGAAAATGGAAGTATGTGATAGCAAAAAAAAAATAGCAGCTTCAATTTGGATTACAATTCAACTCCCGATTCGCAAAGACCATTGATAAGCAGCCTTCGCAAAAAGGAAAATCGTTGAGAGAATTTACGGATTGAAATTTCGAAATTTTTTACTCAAAGTGAGTAGAGCTTTGAACATTCTGTTCACATATTAGTTTCAAAAACATTTGTATTCTTTTCAGGAAGTTACCAGCGATTTTTAGTAAATGTGTCACAAAGCAGCATTTGCATTCTGAATATAAATAATATCGGTGGAGAATTTAGGAATACTGAAACCTCAAGCGAAAATGAAGTGTTTTATGAAGACTAACTGCTTTAGGAATCTCTCCTCAAGGCATATCTGCGAGACATGTAGTAAATATTTTTCTTTTTTTAATTTAAGAATTTCGATAATGCCATAATTAATCCCTAGAAGAAACCACTTATGTACATATGACCATACCTATTTTATTATGTAGCTCATTTTAAGGGGGAGGGGGTTGAGTATGGTAACTTGTGTCAAAATCAAGCTAATTGGACAATGTTTTGAACATACAAAAAAAGGCAGAAAGCCGGTTATACGAAAGTCAAGTCATGTTTTCACATTTTATTTACTGCCTTTACACTTTTTTTAACGTTTTCCATCTTTTTACATTAAAATAATGCAATATTTTAGCTCCTATTAATTTCGCACAGAGAAAGGAATCACTTGACCTAATGTGCAACAGGGTGTTTATAGATAGGAGGGCGAAAAGACACGGTCAAATAGGCTTTAAATATTTATACCCGAGCGCACTTGTGCACAAGGGTATATTAACTTTGTTCGCATAACGGCTGTTTGTAACAGCCAAAACGAATCGAGATACAGTATCGGTCATATCTATAGCACGCCAATTCAAAGTGATATTGTGTGCCACTTATGTTTATTTATTTATTTTTAAGAATTTTCAATTAAAATTCAGTTCATTCTCAGACAAACCCAAGCTTAATAATTTGTAGAAAGCTACAAAAAAGTGCAACAAATTTTCACATAAATTTCAAACTTTTTTCTCGGAAGTGTTAGAATATTTTTGAGTAAACAGTTTTTTAGCCCCTTCAATTTTAGTGTGCAAGTTTCAAGTGGCTAAAAGTTACCGTTGATTTTTTAGAATTTTTTTCGCCAAAGGTGTTGCGGATTTCTTCCATATACAAAAAAATTGAGTTTATTCATTATATGGAAGCCAATGCGACAAAAAAAATTCTAAAAAATTAACGGTAATTCGTAGCCACTTGAAATTTGCACATTATCAGACTAAAATTAAAGGGGCTAAAAAACTGTGTACTCAAAAAAATTCTAACACTTCCGAGAAAAAAGTTTGAAATTTATGTGAAAATTTGTTGCACTTTTTTGTAGCTTTCTACAAATTATTAAGCTTGGGTTTGTATCGGGTTTGTCTGAGAATGAAGTATATTTTAATTGAAAATTCTTAAAAATTAATAAATAGACATAAGTGGCACACAATATCACTTTGAAATGGCGTGCTATAGATATGACCGATACTGTAGATATGGACAAATGTATACATAAATGATCAGAATGAAAAGAGAAGTCGATTAAGCCATGTCTGTCTGTCCGTCCGTCCGTCTGTCCGTGTACACGATAACTCAAGCACAAATTGAGATATCTCAACGAAATTTGGTATGTAGGTTGCCAAGGTAGGTTGGTATTGAAAATGGGCGAAATCGGTCTGTAACCACGCCCACTTCCCGTATAACGGTATTTTCGAAAAATGCAAAAACTGCGATATTTCAGTAAATATTAGATGCAAATTGTTGAAAATTAGTATGTGGAGCTGAATTGTGGTAAAAAATACCGCCCACTTATGATAAAATGCTGTATCTCAGTAGCCGCTTC